ACTGAATATGCAAATTATAAATAAACATATAGGAAATAAAACGGATCTAAACTCATAGTTTATGCCTCCCGGTTTCAGTCTTTAAACTAAAGCTTAAAATATTTATGTAATATGAATATATACGTTAATTTATAATAATTTTGATCGTTGCACTAAAAATTGGTAAATAAATAATATTGTAAATTATTTATGTAAATTTATAATAAAAAGCTATTAAAATTGAATATTTCTTTAGATCTTGAGAACATCACCATCAAATTTATACGAAAAATATATGGAATAAAAACGAGTTAAAAGTTATGCGATTTTATAGTAAAATGTTAAATAGTTATGCAAATTTTATTTTTTTCAAGCTTCCATAAATCTTGATTATAGATCATTTCTTGAGAAGTGTTGACGCCACAATCAATGTTTAATATGCAGATTAAAGCTAAACTATATAAAGAATTGAAACTCTTAAATGATATTTTTAATTATTACATATTTATATCCATTTTATATGTAAAACGTTATTAAAATGTATATTTCTTCTTTATATCATTTCTTGAGAATATCACCAATATAGGAAATAGAAGCATTAAAAGTTATGCGATTTTATAGTAAAATGTTACATAGTTATGTAAATTTATTTTTTTCAAGCTTCCATAAATCTTGATTATAGATCATTTCTTGAGAAGTGTTAACGCCACAATCAATGTTTAATATGCAGATTAAATGATATTTTTAATTATTGTATATTTATATCCATTTTATATGTAAAACGTTATTAAAATGTATATTACTTCTTTATAGCATTACTTGAGAATATCACCATGAGAACTATGCTAAAAATATAGGAAATAGAAACATTAAAAGGTTTTATAGCAAAATTTTAAATAGTTATGTAAATTTATTATAAAATGCTATTAATTGTTTTTAAGGCTGATCTACCATAAATATTGATTGTAGATTACTTCTTGGGAACAGCTGACACCACAATCAATGTTGAATATGCAGATTAAAGCTAAACTATAAAACGAATTCAAATTCGCAATAAACTAAGAAGTAAATGCAAATATTGTAAAACGATATCAAAATTTAAATTATGAACATATGTTACAATAAAAATCAATAATTAAAAAAGAAATGGATTGACTAATAAATTTAAATATTAAAAATAAAAATCTTTACTGCTTCCTTATTATACCAAGTTTTTTTTTCGTATAGACATGACCTTCATCTGTTTTTTTTGGTAAATATTTCGTAAACATTTGTAAACACTTAAAGCAAGTTTCGTAGACCTAGACCTCCATTGTTTTTTTTTAGGTTAATTCTGTTTGCAACACGTAACGAAATGTAAGTAAGAAAAAAACAACTATTGATGTTGTTTAACATTGTGTGGTCAACATAAATTTGCTTCAATTAAATGAAATTCTGTATAAATAATTCATAAGTAGGATAGATCTCTCGACGTAATATATAATTAAGTGAGGTTAATGAAACGAGGTTTAAATGTGAAATTAAAACGCCGTAAAAACATGGAAAGTGCACATTAAAACTTGGAAAATGCGTACATTAAAAGTATTTTGAATTACGTTTATTACACAGCATTTAACGCTAGATAATTCGTTTTTAGTTTTAGTTTAGAATTTATAGTTTATATTAACAATGTATATCAAAATCAATGCAGATTTTACTACCATTGAAGTACAAATTTAAAATTTCTTCTTTATATAAATTTGACATAAAATATAAGCTCCAAAATGAGGCTTACCATTTTTTTTTTGCTAAGTCTTTGTTCTTCATTTTAATCCTCATCTCTTTTTGTACAGGTAAAAGAGACATTAAATTTAAGTCCATGCTTATGCCAAAATCCTCTTACATACATAAAAAATTCGCACTCAGAGCTCTTTAATATAAATATTTTAATTAAAATATTTTATATAAAAGCTCGTAATTTTCAAAAACAAAAATGTTATTTTGTACAATTTCAGAATATGCGAATATTCTCATTCGAAGCATAAATTTTATATTGAAAAATATATTATTTTTTTGTTGCATATTATCCGTATTTGTGTAGTCGGAAAGCGCGGAATTTATATTTAAAACATAAAATCCAATAATCCGTATAAAAAAAAGCATTAACAAATAATTGTATAGCTGCAATATAAAGCATTAAGCTAACAGTTAAATGGATTTATAGTAAAAAAAATGTGCAGGTTCGCATTTTCAAACGGAAGTTAATGCGAAGGTCATATGCTTTCCTATAAATAAAACTAATCTGTATCGATTAACCATATCTAATGTAGCATAAAACCCACGTTGCATGATCAAGTTAAATATAGATGGATATATTATGCATTACGCCAGAAAGCTACAACTTATCAATTACTTAAGAACAAATTATTTACGGTAAGAATTTCTATATTTTAAAATCGAACATTCAAATAAAATCTTTAAAAAATAATAAATTATTAAAATACAAATACAATAAGTATTACTTATGTAATATCACTTAAGGATGTGATTATAATACCAGAAACTTTCGTATTATGGATAATCTCAATTAAGATTATTAATAAATAATAGCAACAACAGAAAATAAATAAAAGTTTCTACTTTAATTTGCTAACAATGAGTGCGAAAGCGGCGAATGAGGAACAATGATGTAGGAAATGCATGAGAGTTATGCAAGTGGTAGATAGACGCAGACTGAGTAGGTATGTCATTAATATTACAATAAGATTCGGATGAGATTAAAATGTAAAGATTTTAAATGTTAAAGAGTAGAGGATGAACGAGGGTTAGGCAGCAATTTCGAGGTATCTTCGTGTTTGTCAGTACCATTAAAATACCGAAGCAACGATAAAGGAAACAAGTATTGGGTGAGTAACACGATGATAAGATACGATGTGGGAGAGGCGTAGTGAAAATGCATTCCTTGAGGACTCTTTTTTTGGTAATTGGATTTATTACAATTTTAATTAATACAATACATTTTCTTTCAGTTTATTTCAGATAATTCACAGGAAGAAAATATATTTCATAATTTCAAAGAAATTATATCATTTAGTGATATAATGATATTACTGCTAGTTCTTAGGTTTCATCACTAATTGTTCAGTGTATATTACCAAATGCGTTACTACATTACTCAAGTCCATTTAAGTCCTATATTTGTCACATATTAATAAAAGTCACCCAACCAAACTCATTCTTCAACTCATGTTAATTAACTATAAGCCATGAATGTAAGTCAACAACTACTTGAACATAATGATAATTTATATATATTTTCTTTCTAATTATTCATCAAATTAGTCATCAAATTTTTGCAAAGCTTTCAAAAAAGTTGTGAAACATTTAATGAACTTTATATTAAGAAAATTAAGATCAAAATGTTTACAATTGTTGTACTTATTATATGTTATACCAAATTGATCATAAATCCAATTATTATTCTTGTTTTACTTTAAACTACGAAACAATAGGTATAAATGGTATATTTTTGCTATTTGTATAAGGATAAATGATATAGAAAGGGTCACCAATTTTCGTTTTCATATTAAGTTAATCCTAATGCAGTTACAATGTTTTTAATACATGATATAATGATTACCAAACCAATTCCAATTCATGTTTAACTTTATACTATGAAATAGTATAGAAAGAAGTATAATTGAAATATGTTTGCTCTTTGTATAAGTACAGATAGGGGCACCCATTCACTCATTATTGGTGCTTAACTTTTTAATTGCGAAACATCAAATTTTCGTTTTTATATTAAGTTAATCCTAATACAGTTACAGTGTTTTTTTAATACATGATATAATGATTATCAAACCAATTTCAATTCTTTTTTTAACTTTATACTATGAAATAGTATAGAAAGAAGTATAATTGAAATATTTTTACTCTTTGTATAAGTATAGATGGTATAGATAGGGGCACCCATTAAATTATTATTCGTGCTTAACTTTTAATCAAATTCTCGTTTACATATTAAGCTAGGATGGTAAATTGTCACCTATTAAATCATTATTCCTGCTTATTGCATAAAATTTATGAAGATAGATACAATTATCGAAGTTTTTAAAAATAATCTTCTATTGGATGTGGTATTCCCATTGGAAGAAGTTGTATAGTTTAGTTAATTTATTGGTCGAGTCCTGTGCAGAAACAGCGATGCGATTGCAGGAGATGAATGAATTAGAGAAGTTAATAGTTAATTGATACGCAAAGGAACATTTATAACTGCACGGCCTGGCACTTCTCAACCTACGTCGGGATATCAAGTATCGCATTCTACATCGAATGCATTAGCCCGTTATATTGAGTTACAGAAAATTTGATACAGGCATGCAAAATTCCCGCATTCGCGAGCAGTTGAAGACCAACGGCAAAAAAAATTCCGCGTTCCATCCTCCGAAGCGCCGGTTACAGAAAATAAATAATAATGGGTTTATCCGATATGCAACGGATTTATTATTATTCTCATACGGAACGCATAAAGTAACTCCATAAATGTTATCTAATAAATTTATTTACGCCATCGAATATAAAAGCCATTATGTGAAGGGAAAAACGACGGAGAGGAAGAGAAAAAAAATGAAGGAAAAAAAAACGAGTGAGAAATTGCAGATGCCCACAAATCTCTGCTGATTATGCTGTAACTTAAGTTGAGTGCACACACTGAAGTGTCCGTACCATATGTTGAACGTAAGCATTTTATTTATTCTAACGGCAATGACATTCCCATTCACATGCAGCATCGGTTCCGCAATAGAATTTTATATTATTATATCTGCTCATATAAATTCATTCCTCGCAAATAAAAGAAAGAATTATGCGCTTTGCTTCTTTCTTTCTTCTACTATTACTACTATCGATTCATCGCTCGATGCAAAAACCGAGTCAGAAGTGTGTGGGAAAACGATGGATAGATATTTCGCGTATAACCAGAATCCAAAATGCGCAGCGGGAGGTTTAATTAAATTTTCAGATATCTGCAGCTAACTTACCATAACGTGTTCAACGTTGTTGTTTCGATTCTGGTAATACCTAGTAAATCCAGCATTGCACGAATTCCCTTTTTATATATATATTTCTTTTTGTATATTTGTTGTTGTTTTTTTTGGTAAAAACTTCACTCACGGAAGGATTATCGCACGGTGTTTCATTAGTATCGTTTTTGATTGTGTTTTGAAAGTATTTCCGAAAGAGAGGTTGGGTCGTACCACCGCCGCCGCCGCGTACGATTTTCCCAATGTAAATGATGCGCGCGTTTGTTTAAGTCACTCACGAAGGTTGCCAGATAGAAGACTGACCATGTAACCAGCAAAAGCAGAGAGAAGAGACTAGATTTCCGGCGGGGGCAAAAGAGAGAGTGATGTGAACGAGCTTATGTGCAGCCGCCGCACCCGATGGACCGCTTGAAATAATTCCAGATGAGAGAAGTTGAAGAGTAGAAAAATAGAAGAAGCGAAGAGAAAAAAATATTCTCCTTCATCTTCGCAATACAAAGAATATATGCAAAAAAAAATCGTCTAACAATTTTAAAAGTTATCGAAATTTGAATTTCTTCGTTATAAAACACAAATAATTCAAATATTCTTAATCCACAATGTACAGTGCTAAAAAAAATCAATTCCATCAAATATATAAAAATACACCAGTCTATAATACGTGCTTAACGTAATTATCAATTCTAATAAATAGTTAACAAAATGCATAGGTCTGCAAAATTGATTTTCTTTGTTATATAATAGAAATGATTCAAATATTCTTCGTCCACATAATTTAAAGTTTGAAATAATTAATTCAATCAAATATTAAAAGAAAAGTAGAATATACAATGGTCTATAAACTTTGTTATTTTTTAAATAAATGATGTTCATTAAATAGTAAATCAACGTTAATTTAGGTCTATAGATTTTGTTATTTTCATCTTTCTAATTCGATAAACACAAATTAAACAAACAAATATATTTGTTTTTTTGATTTCATTGAACAATTTCCAAAATTTTGAGATCATTGGTCTACAAACTTTATAATTTTCAAAATAAATATTTTTTTCTTAATATAACTAAAGCAATACACATTTCTTAACCCACACAATATACAAACAAATTAAAGAATGAAAATATATTTTTTTTTTATAATTACCAAAATTTCGTTATCACAGGTCTATAAATTTGATTATTTTCAAAACTTTATTCTCAATACAGAAATTAAATAATTTATATTAATTTTTATTAAATTTAATGATTGTTGGTCTACAAATTTTTGGCAATATCAATTGAATATTTTTGAAATTTGGTTTATTTTCAATAAACACAAAATAAATAATTAAAACATCGTTAAAGTATTAAATAATTCATGAAATTCGGAGATCTTAAATTTCGATTAAATTTTTATTATTTCCAAAGCAAACGATTTCCATCAACGTATCCGTCGTGATATAACACAATAAATCCCTATGGACGACGACGCACCTACCTAAACTATAAAGCTTTCACTTTCCATCGCGATTTCCTTTCCAGATAATAAAAATTTGTTCCTCTAACGAAACCGTTACACAAAAAAAAAGAATGAAATAAATATGCCACATAATAATGACGACGATTATTAAAACGGATGTGCAGTTAGTTGGTCTATTGCATAAAAAGAGCGGAGATGATTTAGATTGTGTGCGTTTTGTAGAAAGTGGATAATTGCTGCGGCGCGATTCTTCTTCGATCAAATATAGAGAATGCTTTTAGTTAAAGAAATGAAAGACGTAAAACGGTTGGTTGGTTGGTGGTGTGGTGTTGATGTTGGCCCGACGACCAAGGACGACCAGATAAAGAGAGCCAGCAGAGTTTTGAACAAAGGGCTCGTAGGTAGTTTCAGGTTTCGTCACAAAACGTAGATGCACATACGCACTCTCACACACACACGTACACGCACCGCCGATGAATAGTTTATGGATGAAACCTGCGGTTCGCAATTTGATGCGACGCCGAAGAACAGCAACATCCACAACAGCAAATGAAAGAAAAAAAGAAGAGGAGAAGATGCGACGAGGTGCAATATCTGGTCGTAGGCATCTCTCCATTAATTCCGCAACGGGCAATTTCGATGCGCGTATGCCATATTCCGCCAGATATTGACGATAGTAAATCTCATCCTATTATTCGCAAAAGGTCATTAGGTGATAAGTGAAGGATTTTAATGCGTTCCTCCGCCGCTCCAAGAGAGAGAAAGAGACTCATATACACCAGGAGAGAGAGAGGATCAACCAGGCTGCGCCGTATGGATTCGATCGCACATAATAAATTAATTGTTATTACGTTTACCCCTTGACCCCCCGTGCATAGTTTTGAGATGTGACCATGTTCATTGACATCGTGAGACCACTCAAAATCCAACATAAAATTAAATCTCTTCATTTCCTAATACAAAAATACAATTATTATATTAACTAATTATTCAATTCAATTAATAACTTCTGATTAATCAATTATATTTCATTTATTTAGCCAATTACACAAAACATATTGATAATAAAAAAAAGTGTTTAAAATTATAATTTCAATATACAAATTACAATTTCTTCTTTTCTAATTACAAAAATCCCAACACTTTTCTACTAACTACATCATTTATATAGTTCAACAAATATAATTGGACTGTCATCAAATTTGGATGCAGCTAGATCGAATTTATATAAGGCTTAATTATCGGATAATTTGGAACTTTCTCGTCCAAAACATATACACTTAATTTAGATACAAAAAAAATAAGCGACAAATAAATATTCCAATTCATTTTTTTCTTAAGAAATAATTTTAATTAAAAACATATTTGTATCAATTATATGTTTTTTCTTAAATAATAATTTCTTGTAAAATTGCGAGTATTGTCAATATTTATATAATTCATAAAAACAAATCTGACTAAATCAGTATGAAAATTCATGTATTTCATCCATTAAGAAAACTTTTGTTTAAAAAAAAATAAAATTTCATTTATTTTTGATGAACTCAATATAATCTATCTATTTACAAAGAATACTTGGGTTTTGGTTAAATGCTTCAGCAGAATGTAATTAGAAAAGAGCTTCGAGACTAAAAATAGTTTTATGTTATTGGAGATATAGTGTTACATGCAGATGTGCAATGGATTAGTTTAAAATAGAATTTTAAAGGAATCTAAACCAGAAGTTTAAGCCAAACATAAGAAACATATTTTCAATAAGGACAAAAAAAAACATTCTTCAAAACACATATATTTATTATACATGAATATATTCCAAAATAAAGCAAATATATGAAAAAAAAAAGCAATCATTTCAATTTTATGAAAAATATAATTATATAATAAAATATATAATAGCGTTTTGTAGTAGTTGATTATTGTTATTGTATGAACATGTTTTTGTTACAATAAAGATTTCAATTATATTCAATTATTGTCTAAAATATGTACCTTTATATAGACATATATAATAAATTATGTTTATTAATTCCTAATTAACTGAAGTATATTCATAATTATATACATGTGTTCATTACAGAGAATACGACAAAACGTTGTGCTGTATTTAATTGTATCATGCGTTAAACCCGATCGATCCGTACGCTGTAGAAACTTGGTTACACAATCGAATCCATTATTTGCATCAAATGGCAACAATAGTTGATTAATCGCCACCTTCTGTATTACATTTACGAGAGCAACTTTTAACAAGCGCACATTGTGTAACGGAGAAGTAGAAATCGCTTTTAAAGACTTAACAAATTGCAAATCCATTTCATAAGGAAGTGAAAAATAATAATAATATTTTCTAATTAGGATGATGCCACTCATTTACCAATAATGAAAAAATAAGCATCTTCTTTATCTTACTAATGATGACAAGTATTTCTAGGTTTGTCAATCTAATTTTTCTTTTGATGGATGTTTTTCTACAATTAATTAATTTGAGTCTTAAATGACACAAAAAAATAAGCTATATTTGTAACAGTTACATAAGATGTTATAGATGTATAGATGTTATGAATGTATAAACATTTATTAATGATTCATATCCATTTTATTATTTTTATTGTAATTATTTATGTACATGAATGTTTGTTGCAACAATTGTTGTCATTATCATGAAAGTAATTAATATATAATATTAATCATACGTGATTTATCAAAGAGACGTATACTAGAATAGTTGTAATTAACTTGGTGAAAGTCTATTCCGTTTCAAAATGTTTGAAACAAAAACAGGTGAAATTTTCATGAACCAATATCGTTTTAGTACAGTTAACAATGCAATAATTAAAAGTAGAATCTTAATTAATTAAAAACTGTCATCAATACTCAAAACTATTATTCAGTAAAGTCAGTCTTATAAAATAAAATGATTCTAGGATTTATATAAAGAAGATAAGAAGTAAACAAAGATTAAACACAATTGAGCAGACTATACCAAAAACAGGTGAAATTTTCATGAACCAATATCGTTTTAGTACAGTTAACAATGCAATAATTAAAAGTAGAATCTTAATTAATTAAAAACCGTCATCAATACTCGAAACTAGTGTTTATTGAATAAAGTTTGGCTTTGGTTGATCGAGGTGCAAAGTGATCACAATAAGTGTCTCCAACCGTGTATTTATTTAGTTTATTACATCTGCTGGTGAGAATATAGTGCAAATCCCAATCTCACGAATTGGATTTTCGCGCAAACTTTTTAAATAAAATCAAGGAAAGCCAATCCAACTTCCTGCTACCAAACAGAGAGTGAGTGAGTGTGAGAGAGAAGTAAAATTCACGGGACTTCGTCAGTTGTCTAAACTGCATTTGCATAATATTGCACCTGGGAGAAACCCTTTCGAGGGTTTGCCTTGAAGCAGTTTCCTTCAGTTTTCAGACTGTATAAATATAGATAAAAGGGAATAATCGACGAACTTTCAGACATTCCATTTTATTAAGCGCTTCGCAAATAGAAAAAAAAACATTTATGATTCTGAAAATACGGCATTGCAGCATCTTCTTCAGATATAATACAACTCCTTTACATACGCATACTGCTAATTCCAGTATTCGATGTTGTTGTTTGATGCTTGTTACATGGAAATAAAAATATCTGTTACTCCCCAATTAACGCGGGCTCCGCATTCCGGGATGCTCTGTAGCTGGAAGCGTATCAGCATTACATGAGTAGGGAGGGAATGTACAGCATTATCCAAATAACTGGTTGATATCGATATATTTGCAAATAATAAGCAACGACCGAAAGCTGACACATTTTATTTTTCTCCATTCAGCGACAGCGTTGAACTTTAAAAATAACGACCGGTTTATGTGTGCGCCGTATTATTCACTGGGCTTCAAAAGTGTTTGCTGCATTTATAT